ATTATTATACTATATATATATATATATATATTGTGTGTGTGTGTGTGTGTGTGTGTGTGTGTGTGTGTGTGTGTGTGTGTTGTGTGTGTGTATTTTTATGGCTTACTGAAAAATACACAGCATTCCTTTGGATTCGTATTAATCTTTTTCTTGATCACATCACGGCGAACTTGTACGTCGCTCGTAGAGATATATGTAAGTTTAAAGATCAAAAGGGGCGAGAGCGAAAGGTGAAATGTGTATTACGAGTGCACACATGACGCGTGACATCGTCGTGGCAGGATTGGCATCTAATATTATCGGCGATTATTATCGGCGTATTTCTCATACGGCGGCGGCGGAATCGTATCTCGGAGAATATCTACCGCGAAATAACCACGGGGATTCCGCGGACGGATTTATAATACGGATCCGTCGATGCCAGATATTTCGTCTTACTCCGCTCCTCCGCGCACATCCTCTTTTTCAGTGGATCGCGATCTGAAAATTCCTCTTGGGCACTCGCACGTACATACAGTGCCGTTTCCCCCGCACATCTCCGTCCGTTTCCCCCGCACATCTCCCCCCGCCCTCTCCCGTCTTCTCTCCCTTCCGTCCCCCCTTTCCCCGCTGCCCCTCCGGCCCGAAAAATCTCGTATAGATACACAAGGAATCTGAATTTCCTCGGGCGATCGGATGCGTCATCCGTCTGCCTTCACGTATGACTACGCAATTCGATATCACGCTCGCGAACAAGCTCTGTCAGATATACCGCACGTACATATGTACATAGGTACGTACCATCGTATTCGACGTCACGCTACGGTGCAACCGTGGTCGCGTTTACTTCGCGATAAGACCCCTTTAAAGAAGCGAGATATTCAGATCCGGAGTGCTGTACACTCGACGGGAGAGAAGCACATAAAATGCAGCGAAAGAGAGAAAAATGGAAAGAACGGGAAAAGAAACGAAGAGAGGAAAAACTGAAGAGAGGATAGGATGTCTTACAAATCCGTATGATTCGCACGCTGCGAGCGAAAATACGTGGCGTGGCTCGACGGCAGTTAGTAGCTGTTAAACATTGGAAAGTTTCACTTTCCTATTGTTACTCGCTTTAATTATGTTTTCGATCAGGCGCGATACGGATATAACGAATACAGAATAACTCTCCGCAGCTATTTATAATTTTAAATTGTAACGCAATAAATTTTTTGCTGAGAAATATTTGTATCTCTACTTCTATATGATACTGTTTTCAGTACCCTTACGTATATATTATGTATGAAGTCCGGAAAGTTTTAACTGTAATAGCAAATGGGGACCACTCCGACTCTGAATGGGCTGACTTTACAGAGAGTTCTACTACTGCTTTTGTGCTCTCGGCCCTTTAACAGTCAAAAGAGTTTACAACATTTAATTTCCTGAGATCATTTATAATATCTCTATTCATTTCCGAAGTATATTAGATGCTCTTCTTATAAATTACAATGTTCATGTTTTAATAATATTTAACAATTTATTAAA